AGCTGGCTGCTCCAGGAGATGAGGAGACTTTTAGCCCAGGGCCACAGCTGGGTTGCAAGTTCCCCACAGGCAAAAGGTTGCCATCCCCTAGCTTACAACATAAGGCAAAGATTTTGAGGATAGTACTGCACCCGTCTGGTCTCGTATAGGTGCTCTGTAGCAACCTTAGAGTGCACGCCCTGCTCCGTCCATGGAGTGTGTCCCTGGGACTTCTGCATTGGGTCGCGTTCACCCCTGAGGGAAGCCCCAACACTCTCCTACCATGACTTGATCTTCTTTCTTCAGTGGTGGGGCTCCCCCTCGTGGATTCTTGCCTACCGGGTGCTGCCCTTTGTGGGCGTTCTTGGGGCTCCACCTCCCCTACATCCCAGCCATGCGCCAGCCCTCAGGACAACCAGATGATGGACCACTGGCTTGTTCCCTTGCTGTTTCCTCCAGCTCTTGTGCCTTCTTGCCTGTTCCTTGATGCCTCTTTACCCCTGGTGACTACGGGGTGTGGGACTGTCCTCGCCTCAGCGTCTGCTCTCCCCTTTGAGGCGTTGCAGTCCACAGTGATGACTTCACTCTCCCTCTTGAACTGGGGGATACTTGGAGATGCCTTCCCCGGTCTGGGCTCTGTGTGCCCTCCAAATGATAAAAGAGAAGAAAAGAATAGTCGGGGTACAGGCCTCAGCCCACCCCACTCATGGATCCGGCGCCTGTGGCTTTCAGGATTCCCCAACGCCATCCTCCTTGACCCAGCTGCCCTGCCGAGCCAGGTGGATATTTCTTTTTAGAGGAGCCAGGACCCTTCCTGTGCGTCCTCGTCTGGCCCCCTGCCAAGCTGACAACCCTGCTGCTGTGTCACCCAGGGAGCAGCTTCGCCTTCTGGTTCCAGCTTTGCTGCCCCCGTCTCCGTTTCCCTGCCACCAGCTTTTAAAATCAGCCAGGCAGCAGTTTCTGATGATGGAAATAAAAGCAGCTGATGAACTGTGCCGGCAACCCTTCTCGGCACAGCATGGCTTTTCCTGAAAAAGGTAAGTGGGCCCTCTCTTCAGGGATTTTTGTTTCTTCCTTCAGGCGGCTCAGGCCTGCCTCGGGTCCTGCCGTGAGAGGGTGCTCCAGGGCCTCCGTTTGTGTCCCCCTGGGACAAGTACTTTTAGACATAGGCACCTAAATTCTATCTTGTAGATCGGGGCAGTCTGCTCTGGGAGTATCTTTTTGTATGTTAACATGAAATCTACAGATATTTAATTGTGTGTGTGCAGGGGTTGAATTTGCTTTTATTTTCTCTTAGCAACCTTAAATATTCTTCATTAAACATTTTTATACGTGTTTAAGCATATTTATAAAGTTGTGAAAATACTGTATAAGTCAGAGAAAATAGGTTTGATGTTTTAGGATTCTGGAAACATGGATTCTGCTCCTGGTTCTGTCACAAAGTTCTTATATGACTTCAGGCATTTATGTGATGGAAGGTTATAAATACTGTGTATTGACCCATTTATTAGGATGTCCATTGCATTTGTTTTTAATATAGAAACCATAAGGTAAATAAAAGAAAAAGGGCTCAAGGTAAGCCGCTTCTCAGTTAACAGTTAAGTGTTGTTAAGAGACTATGCCATTCTTGGATACGATATGATCAAAAAGACTTTCTCGGTTTTGAAAAAAAAAGAGACTCTTGGGAGATGAGACTAGTTATTCAGAGGAACCAATCCAAAGACATTAATCCTGCATACTTACCATTAGAGGATTGCAAGGTTTTAGGAAACCTTTGCCTGCAGACTTTTTGTTCTTTAAAATTGTTTTACTTTAAATGTTTCTCTCTTGTTAAAATAAACAATACTTTGCTTTTTGGTCCCTATAATCATCCCTGATCAGACTTACTGAGTAATCATAATCACAGTGAATGCACACGTTGCTCTAGTTCAGGACTGGGTCTGAGAGCGGAAGAATTATGGAATTACATCCCACGACAGGTAGCTACGAGATTTAACAGCTGAGGCATTGCACTAAGAGAAACTGGAAAGAAGAAATGTAGCTTTAACAGCTTTGTTTTTTATTTTTTCCTTTATAAAATGATTAAATGTTTTGACGATAAATCGCAAATGTTTATCAGATTAGCACAAGATGTAACCCTAGTGGTACTCCAAGATGTACCCCCTCTCCAATTGAAAGGATCAGAGCAGGTGCACGAGCACTGTGGGAAATGTAGGGACCCTCCTTCCCTATAGAGCAGAGCCAGATCACCAATGGGGATTTAACCATACACCTTTTAATGAGGGGGACAGTGGTGGGAACATAACATATATAAACCAGGGGGTATAGGGGACCCTACAATACCCAGAGGGGATGGGATTCAATAAAGGTTAGGCATTCACATTCATAGACATATTCATCTAGTTAACCAGAGACAGGTTTAACAAAATATAAAATGCAAACAACTCAATAAACAATACTAATTGCCAAAATATAAAATACACAGAATACAAAATACCAAATAACAAGAGATATAGGGTGCAGGAACCTGGAGGGGGAAAACAGTGACCACTCCACCCCACCAAGAGTTTCCCCCCTGTTGCTTTACTCATCTCTACTTGACCTAGCCTGGACTTGAACTTAGAGCTCCCACATGGCCATCAGTGCTATGTCTGCTCCATGCTGCTGGGGCTTCTGACTTTCTGGAAGCCCCTGCCTCACATTGAGCTACCCTACCTCTTGGTGGAGAAACTAGAAGCAGAGTTGGGAGCCTCTCGGGTCACTGCACAGCTTTCTGCTGGAGCCAGGCAGGGGACCTCTCCTGCTGGCTACAGCTTCTTGCTGTGGATCCTGGAGTCCTTCAGGGAGCCTCTCCTGCCAGCCACACTGTGCTGCCTGCGGGTCCCACTCCTTCAGGTTCTTCTGGGGCAACTGCTCCCACCCTGCTGGCTCAGCTCTTGCCAACTCTTTAAAACTCCATCCTCATTGTCTCTCACAGGTTTCCTCTGAGTCAGCTGCACTGCCTCTTTTATCCCCCTCCAGGTGACCCAAGGGGCAAATCAAGGGACATGGAGGGTGAGTCTCTGGGGCCTGATTGGTGAGGAAAGGG